CCGGCCCGGCCCGCCGGAACCGCGCGCGCGGCCTCACGGGAAACCGAGTCCGCGCCGCACTTCCGGCCCCGTCCCCATGGCGACGCCCCGCCCGCACAAAGGGGTGATCGCGCGGCCACGCCCACGCGGGGCGGAACAAGCGCCGTTGCCATGGGGACGCCTCGCCCGCTGATTGGCGGATGCGGATGTTGCCGTGGAAAGGCCCCGCCCCGGAGGCGGGGCGGTTGCTATGGTAACTGGGCACGCCCAGCCTCTGCTCAGCCCTTTCAAGGCTCCCCTACAGGGGTGCTGTAATTAATGACCCCGTTAATTACCCTTCTCCCCACCTCCCGCGGCCCCCCACAGTCCGGCTGGGCATTTGGGGCTCCAGGAGGCCTCGGTGGTCCCGGGCACACCTCGTGCTGCCCCGGGGCTGCTCCAACAACCACAGTAACAGGAGTTTCTCCTACAATATTCCATAATGCATTCATTAATTGTTCCAGCCATCAGGAGAGCTATTCCATGGGTTCTGGTACTCCAGCAGCTCCCAGGACCCCTGCAGGAGCACAGCTGAGCACGGCTTCCAGCTGGGAACTGTGCTCACCTGGCAGCCAGCGTGTTCCTGTCCCAGTCCCGTGTCCCTGTCCCAGTCCCTGTCCCAGTCCCGTGTCCCCGCCTGTCCCTGTCCCCTGTATCGTGTCCCTGTCCCGTGTCCCTGTCCCAGTCCCAGTCCCGTGGTCCCTGTCCCAGTCCCGTGTCCCTGTCCCGTGTCCCTGTCCCGTGTGCCAGCCCCGTGTCCCTGTCCCCGTCCCGTGTCCCTGTCCCGTGTCCCGTGTCCCTGTCCCAGTCCCGTGTCCCAGTCCCGTGTCCCTGTCCCGTGTCCCGTGTCCCTGTCCCAGTCCCGGCTCAGCACCCACCAGGCACTGGGGTCACACGTGAGCTCAGGGACACCAGGCTCAGGGACACTGGTACCGGGCCCACCCGAGCCTGGGGCACGGGGACAGCGTGCCCAGGTGACCCTGGGGCCAGGGCGTGGCTCCTGCTGCCCTGGGATCTCAGCTCCTGCACCTGGAGCATCCCTCCTCACGGAATCCCTGCCTTATCCCTTTTCACCAGCACAGAAAACGGAGAGGCTCTGGGGCCAAACCCGGTAAAAGCAGGGCTGTGTTTAATTCCCCGACTGGGTCACCGACTCTCCTGCCTCTTCCTCAGGGAGTGTGCCCGGGGCCACGGCGCCCGGGTGACACCCAGCACAGCACGCAGCTCCTGCTGCTCGTTAACTGAGCGGCGCTAATTACAGCAGCCTTGCACAGCTTCCTCCTTCCTGGGGGCTTCCCAAATCCGCCTGAGCACCTCGGAGGGAGCCTGCAATGGGAAAGGCAGGAATGGCACCGGCCCTGCTGCCCCTGGGCCCCACCACTGCCACCAAACCCCAGCGGGGCCGGGATGTCCATAACCACCCCGGGCTGTCCGTGCCCCCCCGGGCTGTCCGGGGTGTCCATAACCGCCCCCGGGAGGCGCCGGGAGCGGCCTCAAACGGCCCCGGGCTGCTCTGGCAGCGCTGCAGGAATGGCGGCAGCCACGGCAGGCCCGCCACGCTGGAGCCTGCGCCGGGAAGGGCCGGGGCGCTCCGGGATGTCTGTGTGTCCATAACCACCCCGGGATGTCTGTGTGTCCATAACCACCCCGGGATGTCTGTGTGTCCATAACCAACCCGGGATGTCTGTGTGTCCATAACCACCCCAGGATGTCTGTGTGTCCATAACCACCCCCAGGATGTCCATAACCACCCCGGGCTGTCCGTGCCCCCCCGGGCTGTCCGGGGTGTCCATAACCGCCCCCGGGAGGCGCCGGGAGCGGCCTCAAACGGCCCCGGGCTGCTCTGGCAGCGCTGCAGGAATGGCGGCAGCCACGGCAGGCCCGCCACGCTGGAGCCTGCGCCGGGAAGGGCCGGGGCACGGCGGCTCCCGGGCCCCGCGGGGACACGGGTGACGCGGGGACAGCAGGGCTGGTGGCTCCCCGGAGCAGAACCGCCCGACATTCCCGGGGCGTTCCAGCCCTGCAGAGCCCCGGCCGCCCCTCACCTGGGCACGGAATGCTGCCGGGACGGAGCCCCACGTCTCGGTCACGGCATCCCCGAGGAATTCCAGCCCTGGGAGCCGAGGGCCGAGGCCTTGGTGGCCGTGATTAACCACAACTGCGCTAATTACGCCGCTAGGTGCCTCGAATCCACGTCCCTCCTGCCGGCGGCTTCCCGGATCCCTGCGGGCGCTGGGAGCAGGAGCCTGCAAGGGAGAAGGGCGGGATGGCCGCGGCCCCACCGCGCCCGGCCCCGCCGGGGCTCCGGGCCCCCGTGCCCCCCCGCCCGCCATGTCCGGGGCGCCTATGACCGCCCCCGGGAGGCGCCGGCAGCGGCCTCAAACGGCCCCGCGATGCTCTGGCAGCGCTGCAGGAATGGCCGGGGCCACGGCAGGCCCCGCCATGCTGGAGCCTGCGGCGGGGACCGCGCCCGAGGGAGCCCCGGTGCCCGGGACGCCCCCGGCCCCTCACCCCGCGCGGCCCGGGAGCCAGCGGAGGTGCCCCGGCCCGCGGCGGGGCCCGCGGCCGAGGGGCGGCCGGGCTGCCGCTGTGAGCGCCGGGGCCGGCTCAGCCCGGGCGGGCCCGAGCCCCCCGGCCGTGCCCGGTCCCGTCCGGGGCTGGGCCGGAGCCCCTGCCCGGGGTCACCGGCTGCTCCTGCCCGGGACAGCCTGCCCCCATCCCTGCCCCAGAGCCCCCAGGCCGGACCCTCCCGCCGTGACTGAGGGCCTGCAGAAGGTTGTTAAGTGACGGGGTTGTTAGTTATGGAGCGATTGGCTTAAGAGTTTGCTAATTGGAGTTATTACAGATGCGGATTAATGGAATTCACCCATCTATAATTTGTGCCTCGGCCGTGCCCCTGATCTCCCTCCTTCCAGCCCATTTCTGTGTCCTGGGGAGAGGCTCGGCCAGGGCTGCTCTGCACTCCTGGGGCTGGAGGGGGAGCTGAGCCCAGCTTTTGGGGGAAATGGGGATGTTGGGAGCCCCGAGGCGGCAGCAGGTTCCTGAGGGGATTGTTTGGGACCTGACCCTCTTATCCCACCTGGACAATCCTAACTGGACCCTTCCCCCTGGACATTGCCACCTGGATAATTGCCCCTGGACATTCCCCCCTGGACAATCAATCCCCAGAGCCTCCTGGGGCCCTGGCCCAGGGCAGGTCCCACTCCTGTCCCCTCCCCTTCCCTCTGGAGCCCCTGGCCCTGCCTGGGCTGTGGCCCCTCCTCAGCTGCTCCCTGGCCCCCTGGAGCTCCCTTGGAGTGAGTTTTCCGTGGTTTTTCCAATGAAGGCCTGGAGCTGCTGCCTGGGTCACCCTTAGCCTGGACCCTGGCTCTGGAGAGGGGAAGATCCAGCCTGCCTTGCTCAGGGGCTCCAGCTGCAGGGAGGGCTCCTCTCCCTGCCTGTCCCAGCCTGGAGCAGCCCAGCAGCGCTCTGAGCTCAGCTGGAGGCCTCGAGTTCCCAGAGGGAGTCAGGGCAGCTCTGCTTGGGCTGAGGAGGAAAAGCCCAGCCTGGCTTGGGATAAAAGCTGAGCTGGTTGAACCTGGAGCCCTGGGGTTCCTCGCTGGCTGTCCCAGGGGGAAGGGGAGCTGTGCTGGGGTGAAATCCCATCTCCACACGTTCTGGGAGGCAGGATGGCTCCCCCAGGAGTTCTGCCCAGCCCTGGGAACCTGCTGGGGCTGCTGTCACACCTGGAGCCAGGAAAAGCCCAGCCTGGCTTGGGATAAAGTCTGAGCTGGTTGAACCTGGAGCCTGGCATTCCTCGCTGGCCGTCCCAGGGGGAAGGGGGAGCTGTGCTGGGGTGAAATCCCATCTCCACACGTTCTGGGAGGCAGGATGGCTCCCCCAGGAGTTCTGCCCAGCCCTGGGAACCTGCTGGGGCTGCTGTCCCACCTGGAGCTGAGGAGGGATGCTCGCAGCCTGCTGTTCCCAGGAAGGAGGGTGGGAGGAGGTGAATTTTCTGGGAGTGATCTCCCTGCTGTCTGACTCCACATTCCAGACTGGGGATCCAGAGCCTGCAGGGTTCCCTGGGGGAATTGCCTGTGCAGGCAGCTGTTGGTGTGAAACTCCCAGCTTTTCCAGCTCGGGCTGCCCTGGAGAGCTGAGCTGCTGCCATGTGCCTCTCCCAGCAGCTCTGCAGCATTTCCCTCCTGGAATGTGGAGTGGCTGAGTTGGAGTTGCAGCTTTGGGGGAAATTCTTGAAATTCCTTTGTTATCCCGAATATCCTGCCCTGTGCCTGGGCTGAGCCCCAGCGTGGGCAGCAGGAAAGGGGGATTCTGCCCCTCGGGTGAGACCCCACTGCAGAGCTGCCCCAGAGCCAGCAGCACCAGGAGCTGGAGCCCCTCTGCTCCTGGGGATGAAGTGGATTTTGGAGTGTCCGTGCTGTGGGATGCAGGGGGAGCGTGGATGGGCTGGGAGATTGGGAACTGGGGTGGAGCTCCCACTGTCCCAGCCCTGTCCAGCCTGGCTGGGGCACTGCCAGGGCTGCAGGGGCACCCAGAGCTGTGCAGCCATGGCCTCGGGGGGCTGTGGGAGCTTTAGGATTGGGAAAGGCTCCGGCAGCAGCTCCTGGGATCCCACGGGGTGTTGGGACAAGAGAGAGCAGGGCTCGGGCTCCCGGCCCGGGGGCAGTCCCTGCTGGCTGGGGCCGTGCACAGGGTGCAGGACGGGGTGCCTGCAGGGTTTGGGGGCAGGGGCTGGGCTCGTGGGTCCCTCCCAGCTCAGTCTGTCACGTGGCACAGAGGAAGCTCTGCCCTGGCACTTCCTGGCCCCCAGCGCCTCGACCGCGGCGCCCCAAAAGCAGGAGAGCATTCCCTGCTGCCCACAGCCCCCTGCACGGAGCTCTGCTCTCCTGGGGATCCCATGGAGGACGAGGTGGGTGCTGGGACTGGCTTTTCCCAAGAGCTGGAGCTGTTCCAGGCTGTCACAGCCCGAGGTGCCCCCCCCGGGGTTTGGGGTCCCCACGTCCTGCCCAGGACAGCCAGGGGGGCACGGAATCACCCCAGCCCTAGGGATGCAGCCATGCCTGGAGGAAAAAGGGTTTCTGTGGGCTGGGGTGGGTCTGGGTCCTGCTGGTGAAAGGGGAAGTGCCTGGGTACGGCCTCGGTCCCAGCGGCAGTTCCTGCACTGCTCTGGGTTCTGAAGGGTTCCTGTGGAGCTGCAGCCTTAGCCCTGGCAGGCAGGCTTTCGGATGGGGCATCCCAAAGCTGGAGAGTCCCCCAGTCTCAGTTCTTGGTTAACTGACCTGTTGTGTCCAGGGTTCCCTTCTCCTCAGAGCCCCAGCCCCGCAGCAGGGTGAGGGAACATCCTGCTCCAGGATCATCAGGCCCTTCTCCTGGCTGCTCCCCAAAAACCCACACTGCTGCTCCCGAGGCGGGGCTGTGGAGCTTCTCCTGTGAGATCCCTTCATTTCTGTCTCCCTGATGCAGGGGATGCTTTTCCAGGCCAGGCTGTCCCCAATGCCCTTGTGTTTCCTTGTGAGCTGGTAATTCCCGTTGTCCCAGGAGCTTTTCCTTGCTTTATAATTAATTAATCCACCACTGGAAGCCTGTTCTCTGCCCCTTCAGATCCCACGTTCCTCTCCTTGCCCCTGATGATCAGGAAAGCCAGGGTGTGGTTGTCCTGAGGCATGGGAAGCAGAGGCCACCAGGGAGTGGGACACTGGAGTCACACGTCAGAGGAGTTCCTAGATCCAGCCGTGGGTCTGTCTGCTCCAAACACCCCCTTCCCCTGGGAGAGCTGGAATTGGAGCAGTTTGGGGACGTTCCCAGTCATTTATCCAGCTTGGGGAGATCCACATGGCATTGCCATGCCAAAGGACAGCTGTGTGTTGGCTCCAGTGGCTTTCCAAACCTGGCACTGCAGGGTTTGCAATTTCCCATTTTTCCCAGGGCAATCAATCCGCTTTCTGGGTGATTTTCTCATTGCTTGGGGTCTCCTTGGAGCACTCCTGCCTGTTTTTTGGCATTCCTTGTGGAGTTGCCCCATCAGATCCTCAGGCAGGTACAAACCATGGAGAATCCCTCTGGATGTGCTGTTCACCTGGAGTACGTTGTTGTTACACACAACAGTTGTGTTTCTCTTACCTGGAAGGTTGAGCACTGTGACTTTGGGGGGAAACCACCGTGTTTTGGTAGTGGGAACATTCAGCACTGCATTGTGTCCCAGGAGAAGGGTTTTCTCTGGAAATCCTTGGATTTATGGCTCCAAACCAGGCAGAAGCAGCAGGATGGCACTGAGGGTCGCTGGGCAGGAGGGGCTGCAGGCCCCCCGTGCCAGTGCCAGCCCCGTTCCCACCCCGATGTGTTCCTCTGGCAGCCTGGAATCGTGTCCCCGTTCAAGCGCGTGTTCCTGAAGGGGGAGAAGGGCCGGGACAAGAAGGCTCAGGAGAAGGTGACGGAGCGGCGGCCGCTGCACACCGTGCTGGTGGCGCTGCCCGACCGCGTGGAGCCCGACCTGCTGCTGCACGACTACATCGAGAAGGAGGTCAAGGTACCCAAGGGCCTGGGGAGCTCCTTCCCGGGTCCCAGCCGGCACTGGGAACCCATTCCCCCTCGTCCAGAGCTGCTCTCCAGCTCTGCTGCAGCTCCTTAGGCACTGAAGGGGCCCTGAGGTTTCTGTGGAGCTTCTTTTAGAGCACCCCCACCTCTCACCCACCTCCAGTTGTCCTTGGAGCATTTCCATGGCTCATTCTGCCCTGTCCAGGGTGGTGTCCATGCTGTGGTAATGGTTTGGCTGTTCTCTCCCAGTATTTAGGGCAGCTCACCTCCATCCCGGGGTACCTGAACCCGTCCAGCCGCACAGAGATCCTGCACTTGATCGACAACGCCAAGGTGAGCACTCAGGGCTCTGGGCTCCCCCAGCAGCACAGAGCCAGGCTCACAGAGCCTCCTCAGGGCTGGGCCAGCTGCTGCTCCCCGGCCTGCTGCTCCCCGTCCTGCTGCCCCCCGTCCTGCTGCCCCCCGGCCTGCTGCCCCCCGGCCTGCTGCTCCCTGGTGGGAGGGAAGGCTGCTCCCAAAGGGGAAACACCCCTGGAGTGGATTCCCAGAGAAATGGCCCCATCCCTGGAAGTGTCCCAGGCCAGGTTGGATGGGGAGCAGCCTGGACAGTGGAAGGTGGTAGTGGAGCTGGGTGATCCTTCAGCTCCTTCCAGCCCCAGCCATTCCATGAGTAAATCCATGTGAGTCCCTGTGTTCCAGAGAGCCCACCAGCTGCCGGGGCAGCTGAGCCCGGAGCACGACGCCGTCATCAGCCTCTCTGCCTACAACATCAAGCTGGTGTGGAGGGACGGGGAGGACCTGATCCTCAGGGTGCCCATCCATGACATCGCCTCCGTCTCCTACATCCGGGACGACTCCGCCCACCTCGTGGTGCTCAAGACAGGTGAGCTGTGGCCATGGAGCTGGGCTTGTTCTCCTGGGCCACCTGGGACACAGGGAGATGTCCCTGCCCATGGCAGGGCGTGGGGCTGGGGGGTTCTCAAGGTCTCTCCAACCCGAAGCATTCCATGAGGGTTCTGTGACACCTCGTTCCTTGTCCTGTGCAGCTCCGTGCATGTCACGCCTGCATGGTTTGGGAACAGGGGGCTGAGCCAGGGATTTATCCGAGTACAAACCCCATGGATAGGCTGTGGAATAAAGGAATAAACACCTCAGGGGCTGGAAATCTGGTGATGGAGTTCTGAGCTGTGAAAACACCCAGACAACTGTCAAAACCAGCTCCAAACTGGAGACTTTTCATCCCATTCCGCTTCAGGGCTCTTCCTCAGCTGCAGGGCTCCTTCCCCTGCCCTTCCCTTGCTCACCCCTGGTCTCCCCTCAGCCCAGGATCCCGGGATCTCTCCGAGCCAGAGCCTGTGTGCAGAGAGCTCCAAGGCGCTGACGTCGGGCTCGCTGTCGGAGAGTGCAGGGGGGCCCCTGGAGTGCTGCTGCCTGGTGGTCCTGGCCACGGAGAGCAAGGTATGGCTGCCCCTGCTCCACGGAGCCCTGGCAGTGCCCAGCCCGGCCTCCGGGTCACTGGGAGGGCTCTGCCTCCCGGGTCGTGGTGGTGGTGGAGCCACAGACTCCTCAGTGGCCGAGTGCTGTGGTGTGTCTGGCTCCTTCCCTGCTCTCACACCTCGTGGGACGCAGATTTAGGGATGCCAGGTGTGGTTGGGCATTGCTGGAGCACTTGGGGAAGGACTCCTGATCCCTGTGCCAACCCTGGGACACAAGAGGGTCTCCAGAGTGTTTCCCTTGGTCCCTGTCACCAGAGCCTTCTGCAGCAGCACAGAATCCACGAGGACAGTCCCACAATGGGGTTTTGCTGATGGGGGTGTTTTCCCTGTGCTGACCTGGGAATTTGTTTCATCCGGTGTCTGGATCCAGGGATTCCAGTCTCAGCCTCTCTGATCTCCACTGAGGGCAGAGCTTCACTCCCCTCATTCCCAGCTCTGGGATGAGCCAAAATGCCAGGGGCTGCATGGAGGAGCCTCAGCACAGAACGTGGGGGGCTCCTGGGTTGGTGCTGCAGCATCCCAGCTCCTGCTGCTGGCTGGAAGAGGGCAGGGATGCTGGGAGGGGGCCGGGCTGGGCTCTGTGCCTTCCCTGCCCCCATGGGGGCCAACACCCATCCCGCAGAGCCCAGGGGACAGGGGCTGTCCCTGCGTGGGCTCTGGCACAGCTCCCTGCTCCTTCCCAGGTGGGTGCCGAGGAGCTGTGCTCCCTGCTCAGCCAGGTCTTCCAGATCGTCTACACCGAGTCCACCATCGACTTCCTGGACCGCGCCATCTTCGACGGCGCCTCGACGCCCACGCGGCACCTGTCCCTGCACAGCGGTGCGTGTGCCCTGCTGGGGCTGGGCGAGCCTCAGAACCCCCCTGGGGACACACAGAGCCATGGCCAGGAGTGCTTGGGCTTGGGAAAGGCTCAGGAACCCCCCTGGGGACACACAGAGCCACAGCCAGGAGTGCTTGGGCTTGGGAAAGGCTCAGGAACCTCCCAGCCCTTCACTGGGGACACACAGCCACAGCCAGGAGTGGATGAGATTGGGAACGACTCAGAACAACCCAGCCCTTCACTGGGGACACACACAGGCACAGCCAGGAGTGCTTGGGGTTGGGAAAGGCTCAGAACACCCCTGGGGACACACAGAGCCACAGCCGGGAGTGCCTGGGGCTGGGAGAGCCTCAGACCCCCCCTGGGGACACACAGAGCCATGGCCAGGAGCGCTTGGGCTTGGAAAAGCCTCAGGACCCCCCCCGCCCCTGCCTGGGGACACACACAGGCACAGACAGGAGTGGATGAGGTTGGAAAAGCCTCAGGACCCCCCCCGCCCCTGCCTGGGGACACACACAGGCACAGCCAGGAGTGCTTGGGGTTGGGAAAGGCTCAGAACGCCCCTGGGGACACACAGAGCCATGGCCAGGAGTGCTTGGGCTTGGAAAAGCCTCAGGACCTGCCCTGGGGACACACAGAGGCACAGCCAGGAGTTCTTGGGCTTGGAAAAGCCTCAGGACCCCCCCAGCCCCTGCCTGGGGACACACACAGGCACAGACAGGAGTGGATGAGGTTGGAAAAGCCTCAGGACCCCCCCCCGGGGACACACAGAGGCACAGCCAGGAGCTTGGGGCTTGGGAAAGCCTCAGAACCCCCCCAGCCCCTGCCTGGGGACACACAGGCACAGCTGGGAGTGCTTGGGGCCAGGAAAGCCTCAGGAACCCCTGAGCCCGCCCAGCCCCCAGCACTGACCATGTCCCCAGTGCCACATCCACAGGGTGGGGACTCCACCCCTCCCTGTGCATCCTGTTCCAATGCCTGACTGCCCTTTCCATGAAGGAGTCTTTCCAAGGTCCAGCCTGAACCTCCCCTGGCACAGCCTGAGGCCGTTTCCTCTTACCTGGTCACTCATTCCCAGCCTCTTCCTTCCAGCCAAGTCAGGAATCACTTGGTGTCCCTCCTGGCCTGGGAGGACACCGAGTTTGTGCCTCTCACCTTCCATCTCCCCCATTTTTCCCTGCAGATGACTCCTCCACCAAGGTGGACGTGAAGGAGCCCTTCGAGGCGGATGCCAGCACTTTGTGAGTGATGCTTGGCCCCTGGAGCTGGGATTAACCCGGGTCTGCTGCCACCAGCACCCCGGGGAGCTCACCGAGCCCGCCAGGCCCCGGGGGGTGGCACTGACCTGTCCAGGCCTGGGTTGTCTGCCCTCAGCATTGCAGGAGTCCCATCCACAGCGAGCAGTCCCTGTGTCAGCACAGTGCAGGGCCACCAGCTGCAGCTGGCAGCAGGGTTCTCCCCAGGAACTTGTTACTTGGGAAGCTTCTCCCTCCTGGAAACAGCAGCAGTGTTTGTGGGATGAAATCCTCACACACAAACCATTGGTTAACAGAGAGGGATGCTCTTGGAATAGCCAGCATAGAGGGATACCCCAGGAATGTTTAACAAGGAGGAATTATTGAAAATTGCACATTTAAGCATTGCCCAAGGGATGGAGCGTGGGGATTTTTCCACAGCTCATCCCTGTGTTGCTCCCAGCAAGGAAGCAGCCAGAGAGATAATTCCCCACAGAGGGCTTCATTGTCACTGTCACCAAAGCAGTGTTCAGTTCCCTGGGAGCCTTGGGGTGCCCTCAGGAGCTGGGGCTTCCAGAATCATGGAATACCCTGGGTTGGGAGGCACCCCAAGGAGCAGAGCCCTGGCCAAAGCACCCAAAACCCCAGCAGCACATCCCCAGGCACCCCAAGGAGCAGAGCCCTGGCCAAAGCACCCAAAACCCCAGCAGCCAGTCCCTGGGCACCCCAGGGATCAGAGCCCTGGCCAAAACACCCAAAACCCCAGCAGCCAGTCCCTGGGCACCCCAGGGATCAGAGCCCTGGCCAAAGCACCCAAAATCCCAGCAGCACATCCCCAGGCACCTCAGGGATCAGAGCCCTGGCCAAAGCACCCAAACCCCCAGCAGCCAGTCCCCGGGCACCCCAAGGAGAGCTGAGCCGTGCTGGTGTCAGTTCCTTTGCAGACACGCTGGAGGCAGGGGACGTGTCCCCCTCCTCCTTGGCAGCACGCCCGTCCCCACACGTCACCACGGCCAGCGAGAGCGAGCTCAGCACCACGGCCACCGAGCTGCTGCAGGACTACATGATGACGGTGGGATTTGGGGCAGGGGGCAGGGACAGGGCTGGAGGAGCAGCTCGTCCTCCTCCTTCCCAGCCTTGGAGGGCCTGGCTGTGGGCTCGTGTCATGGAATCATGGGAGGGTTTGGATGGGAGGGGGCTGTAAGGATGATCCCATCCCACCCCTGCCATGGCAGGGACACCTCCCACTGTCCCAGGCTGCTCCAAGCCCTGTCCAACCTGGCCTGGGGCACTGCCACAGCTGCTCTGGGAAATCCATTCCAGTCCCTCACTACCCTCCCAGCCAAGAATTTCATCCCAGTATCCAGTGTAAATTCCCACTTTTCCAGTGGCAGCCATTCCCTGTGTCCTGTCCCTCCATCCTTGTCCCCAGTCCCTCTCCAGCTCTCCTGGAGCCCCTTGTCCCTGGAAGGGCTCTGAGCTCCCCCTCCCCAAGGCTCCCAGCCCCCCTGCCCTTGCCGGGCTCCCAGCGCCGTGCCGGGTGCCACGAGGGCCGTGTGTCCCGCAGCTGCGCACGAAGCTGTCCTCGCAGGAGATCCAGCAGTTTGCCATGCTGCTGCACGAGTACCGCAACGGGGCCTCCATCCACGAGTTCTGCATCAACCTCAAGCAGCTCTACGGGGACAGCAGGAAGTTCCTGCTCCTGGGTGAGCGTGGGCTGGGGTGCAGGGGGGCCTCGGGGTGCCACCACTGGAGGAGAAACGTCCCAGTCCATCTCCTGTGGAGACTGCTCAGTGCTGAGGACAGCTGGGACATCCAGCCCAGCTCATCCCACAGCCTCAGGCTCTGCTCTGAGCTGTTCCTGCTCCCACCTGCCTGTGAAGCACCTGGGAACTTCCTTCAGACCTGGGAACTCCTCCAGAGCCAAGACTCTCTCCCAAACCTAGAAACCTCCTCCAGAGCCAGGGAATTTAATTCAGACCTGCAAATTTCCAGGCCAGGAGAGCTTCTCCAGCCCGGGGATTCTCAAACACCCTGGCCTCTGATGTCCTAGGAAAGCAGGTCAGGAACACAGAATCCTCCCAGGGCAGGAGCAGTGTCTGACTGCACCTGGGGCCTCACATCCAAGGGAAAGGAGACAGGAATTTAAAATGCCCACAGAACAGGAGCAGTGGGGACACTGAGGGGACAGGACAGATGTCCCTGATGGGCCCAGTTATTGGGATAAGCTCAGCAAAGCCCAGCAAGGTGCCGGGTGAGGAATTGGACTGTTTGGAGGTCAGACAACCCCTGCTTGAGCTGGATTTTGCCCCCAGTGAGCAGTGGCTGGTGTGAGTGCACGGGGCACCCGGGAGGCTCCCAGGTGTGGGAGTGACCCCGGTGAGGAGCCCCAGATCCCTGTCCCGGCACTCACCGTGTCCCTGCCGCAGGCCTGCGTCCCTTCATCCCCGAGAAGGACAGCCAGCACTTCGAGAACTTCCTGGAGACCATCGGGGTGAAGGACGGCCGCGGCATCATCACCGACAGCTTCGGGCGCTACCGGCGCTCGCTGGGCGCCGCCGCGGCCGCCAACGGCACCGGCGCCGCCGGCAGCTCCGACGAGCAGTCCGTGCCCTCCGAGGAGGACGAGTGGGACAGGATGATCTCCCACATCAGCAGCGACATCGAGGCCCTGGGCTGCAGCCTGGACCGGGACTCGTCCTGACGGAGCGCCGGAGCCGCGGCCGCGCCCGCCGGGAACGCGGGGCTGCCCCCGGGGGCACCCGGCACAGGGCCGCCCTGGGGCACAGGGCCACCCCTGGGACACAGAGTCACCCCCGGGGGCACCCGGCACAGGGCCGCCCTGGGGCACAGGGCCGCCCTGGAGGACACAGAGACACCCCCGGGCTGCCCCCCGTGGGGACATGGAGCGTGCAGCCGGTCCCAGGGTGATCCCGAGGAGGACGAGTGGGACAGGATGATCTCCCACATCAGCAGCGACATCGAGGCCCTGGGCTGCAGCCTGGACCGGGACTCGTCCTGACGGAGCGCCGGAGCCGCGGCCGCGCCCGCCGGGAACGCGGGGCTGCCCCCGGGGGCACCCGGCACAGGGCCGCCCTGGGGCACAGGGCCACCCCTGGGACACAGAGTCACCCCCGGGGGCACCCGGCACAGGGCCGCCCTGGGGCACAGGGCCACCCCTGGGACACAGAGTCACCCCCGGGGGCACCCGGCACAGGGCCGCCCTGGGGCACAGAGGCACCCCCGGAGGACACAGAGGCACCCCCGGGCTGCCCCCCGTGGGGACATGGAGCGTGCAGCCGGTCCCAGGGTGATCCCAGGACATGGAGCTGCCTCCCAAAACAGGGAGCTGCCCTCGGGGGGGGATCCAGGACACTGAGCTGCCCCTGGAGGGGACACGGACCATGGATCTGCCCTCGGAGGGGCCCAAGAACAGCAGCCTGTGCCCTCGTGGAGGTCCTGGAACGTGGAGCTGGCCCTGGAGGGAGCCCAGAGCCCTCGTGTGGGATGTGGGGGGGTCTGCACTGCCCCAGCCTCACTGACAGCTCCAGGGGCTCCAGCTGGGACGTGGGGGACAGACCTGGGTTTGGATTTTGGGGGCAGATCCCCTCCCACAGGGACAGAGCTGCTCCTGACTGTCCCCATCTGCTCCTGAGGGATGTCCTGAGTGTTGGATCTGTTCCCAAGGGGCTGGATCTGCTCCCCCCAGTTTACAGTTTGCACAGCTGGGTCCCCCAGAACTGCCCCCCCCCCAAAATGAAGTTCTACCACAATGTGAATTTTTCACCCTCTCATCCATGGTATTGGAGCATTCCTGAACATTCCAGCTGCCCCACTCTGGGATTCCCCCCTCCTCACCCACCCCGGGGTCCTGCTGGGGACAGGACCCCCAGAGCCCCCTTTGTCTGCATCCCCTGGTTGTGGGGGGCTCCCTGCCTGAGCAGGGTCCCCAGCCGGGCCTGGGAGGTGCCATTGCCCCACAGCCACACCCGGGGGCTCTGGCTGCTCCCCCCTCTGGAGCCAGGCGCTGACTCAGCACTTTGGGGAGCCAGCACATTCCGGAGGCCTCGGCCCCAAATCCCCCCAGTGCCCCCCAAACCCCTCTGCACCCAGCTCTGCCCCTTCACCCTGCCCACCCTGGGGTGTCCCCCCACGCCGTGACCCCACTGGTGACCCTCCCTCCTTTCCAGGGGTATCCCAACCCCTCCTCCCTCTGGAATTCGGGTGTCCCAGGGGCTGAGGCCCCTCCAGGGACTCACCCGGGGGACACAAAGTGTCCCCTCCTGCAGCCTTTCCCCTTCCAGCCCAAGGAGATGGAGAGCAGGAGAGGTCCCCGAGACTCCGGGGGGGTTTGGGGACCAGGAGGTCCCTGAGAACACCAGGATTTGGAGACCAGAATTTGGGAACCAGGAGGTCCCTGAGAACACCAGGATTTGGGGACCAGGATTTGGGGACCAGGAGGTCCCTGGGAACACCAGGATTTGGGGACCCGGAGCCTCCGGGGGGGTTTGGGGACCAGGAGGTCCCTGAGAACACCAGGATTTGGAGACCAGAATTTGGGAACCAGGAGGTCCCTGAGAACACCAGGATTTGGGGACCAGGATTTGGGGACCAGGAGGTCCCTCCTCCCCAGCCCTTGGAGCTCGGGGCCTCACTCCCATCCCAGGGCTCTGCCACACCCCAAATCTGGAGGGGAGGGGGTGTCCCTGACCCCCAGCAATGCTGGGAGCACCCCGGGGTGCTGCCCCTCCCCCAGAACCTGTCCTTCCACCCCCCCCACCCCAGTCACACCCCCAGGTGCTGCCCCCCATCCCACTGGTGGAAAAGGGGCTCCCCAGACTCCCCAAATCAGGCCTGGGAGGCGAGGTGCAATCCAAGGGGTGCAGGAGGCCTTTATTGAGCAGTCCAGGGGCCGGGAGGAGGGTGGGGGGCAGGAGGAAGGCTCTGGGGGGGTCTGTGCATCTCTACAGGGGGCCAGGACACCCCCAGCTGCTACATGGTCAGTTCCTGTGGAGAGAGCAGAGGCAGGAACGCCGGGGTCACCCCCAGTTCCTGCTGGGAAAAGGTGGGGGGGGGGTTCACAGCCCCAGTTCCTGCTGGGAAAGGGGGGGGGTCACAGCCCCAATTACCCCTGGGAAAGGGGGGGTCACAGCCCCAGTTCCTGCTGGGAAAAGTCGGGGGGGATGTCAGCCTCAGTTCCCCTCTGGAAAAGGGTGGGGGTGTCACAGCCCCAGTTAGCCCCGGGAAAAGGGGGGGTCTCAGCCCCAGTTCCCACTGTGAAAAGTGGGGGGGGATGTCAGCCTCAGTTCCCCTCTGGAAAAGGGGGGGGGTGTCACAGCCCCAGTTAGCCCCGGGAAAAGGGGGGGTCTCAGCCCCAGTTCCCCCTGGAAAAAGCAGGGGGGTCAGAGCCTCAATTCCTGCTGGAAAAAAGGAAGGGTTCAGCCCCAATTCCCCTTGGGAAAAGGGGGGTTCCTCAGCCCCAATTCCTGCTGTGAAAAGGAGGGGGTTCAGTCCCACTTACCCCTGGAAAAAGGAGGGGTTCAGCCCCAGTTCCCCCCGGGAAAAGGGGGGCTCTCAACCCCAGTTCCCCCCGGGAAAAGGGGGGGGTCTCAGCCCCAGCTCCCCCCGGGCAAAGGGGGGCTCTCAGCCCCAGCTCCCCCCGGGAAAAGGGGGGCTCTCAGCCCCACTCACCATGATGGCGTTGACGATGTCGTTGTTGTTGTGCCGCAGGGCCCGCACGGCCTTGGGCCGGGACACGTTGGCCTGGGCCATCACCAGCTCGATGTCCCGCACCTCCAGCCCTGTCTCATCCACCTGGGGAGGGGGCACAGTGCTGTGAGACCCCCCCCATGGGGCACACACCCGGCCCTGGGCACCACAGACCCCCTGCACCCCTCCCAGCCATCCCCAGCTCAACATCTGCGCCTCCATCCCCGGGGTCACAGCGCTGGCACCCCCCAGGGCACCCCCGGGGGGGCTCGGAGCCCCCCGCCCTCACCTCCTCCTCCTCCTCGCTCTCCTCCTTGATGGCCAGGGCGGGAGCAGCGTCGGTCACCAGCGCCGAGTGCTCCAGGGGCACCTTGAACTTCTCAGCCGCCGCCTTGTGCACTTGCTGGGACAGGTCCTCGATCTGGGGGCAACACGGGGTCAGCAGAGCCCCCCCCGGCCGGGAGCCGCCCCCCCCGAGCCCCCCGCGCCCACCTTGGCCTCCCCGAAGACGATGTAGATGTCGGACGCGGGGCTCTTGAAGACGTCGGGCTTGGAGATGACGAACAGGATGTTCTTGGACTTGCGGATGGTGATGCGGGTGACGCCGTGGATCTGCCGCAGCCCCAGCTTGGACATGGCCTGGGGGGCACCGAGCGAGCCCCGCGTGAGCCCCCACCCGGGGGGACACGGCCCCCGCAGCCCCCCAAAGCCCCGGGCAGCAGGGAGCCAGAGCCGGGGTGCTTCCCTCAGCACGGCCCCCAACCCACGGTGGGGACCCCCCAAATCCCACCCCAGAGTGAGGGCTGCCCCTGCACCCCCCAGGACTGACCCCGCTCCCCAAACCCGGGGTGGGACCCCGGCCCCAGGGGCACCCCCGGGCTGGGACCCCCACCCACCTTGCGGGCCTTCTTCTCGCTGCGGCTCTGCTTGGCCTTGCTCAGCGGCTCCTCCCCGGGCCCCAGGGGCACCTGCGACAGCGGGGTCAGCGGGGCCCCCACAGCCCGGGGGTCCCCGCCGCCCCCGAGCCCCCCAGACCCCACCTGGGGCTGGGCAGGGGGCAGCTCCGAGCCCTCGGGCTCCTCCAGCTCCGGGATGGACTCGTCGTTGCTCTCGGACTCGTTCCCGGACCCTGCACAAAGTGGGGGGGGGGCGTTAGAGGGGCTCCCGGGCCCCCCAAAGGCGGGGGTACCCCACGGGACCCCCCCCTCACCTCGGTGGTTGGGCTGGCAGCGCTGGGGGGCCGGGGGGGGCTGGGGGGCCTCAGCCTCGCTGGACGAGCTCGACTCCGACTGCAGAGACCCCCGGGGGGGCACCCGGCCCCCCCCGGGCCCCGGGCCCCCCGCCCGGCCCCGGGGCTCCGGCTCCTTCTGCGGGGAGGGCTGGGGGGCTGCGGGGGCACAGGGGCTGAGCCGGGGGGTCCCCAAAACCCCTCGGGGGGCTCAGCCCCGCCTGCTCACCCCCCCCACCCCCCCCAACCAACCCCCACCCCCCCCCCCCCGCCCCCCCCCCCCCCGCCA